GCAATTTCCAGCAGTTGGGTTAAATTCATTCCCTGGAATCCATCCAGTTTTTGTGACTTTTTCCTGATAACTGGGGCTGATTGGGAGACAAAGGCTAGGTTAATGGCCCGTTGATTTTCCGCAGCCTCAGGGTCTATAGGAGTATAGGTATGGTCCACCTCCAGGAAAGCAGCCAGCAACTCCTGTGGACCCTGAGTCACTGTTTCTGCCTTGGAGAGGTTGATGGGCCTCCTAGCAGCCCTCTTAACCCCAGCTAAAAGATACCAGTGAAAAGTGTTCAGAGCCTGGTGACCCCCGAGGTGTTGGGGTTCCTTTGGGATCAGGTAGAGGGAAAAATCTCTCCGATTCCGTCCCGGTTCTCTTCTACTGTCCCTCCCCCTGGACCTATGATGGCTTTCAGGGCTCCCTGTCTAATTCTGCCTCTTTCCTCTTTGGTGAACAGAATCGGTAATAATTGCTGGCAGTCGTCCCACGTGGGGCCATGAGTCTGGAGTACAGATTCCAAGAGCCCTGTCCAAGCCGGAGGCTTCTCAGAGAATGGGGGATGTTGAGCTTCTGACAGAACTTACTTCACGTTAAAACCCCGCCACCACCTCAAGTTCCCCAGACTCCCAGCACGACCCCCTCCCGGGAACTTTCTTTTTTTTTTAATTAATTAATTAAAAAAATTTTTTTTTTATAAAGACGGGGTTTTACCATGTCGATAAGGCTGGTCTTGAACTCTGGACCTCAGGTGATCCACCCGTCTTGGCCTCCAAAGTGCTTGGATTACAGGTGTGAGCCACCATGCCCGGCCCCTGGGGAACTTTCCATCTTAGCAGGTCCCTAACTCTCCACCTCAAGCCTTCTGACCATTCTCCAGCACAAGCCCCTCCCAGGAGCTATTTCAGCAGTTCCCTAGCATGACTCCCTCCTGGGAACTATCAACTCAGCAGTTCCCCAGCCCCTCCCCTCCTGCACAGCCCCTCACAGTGGATGCATTTGCCGGCTGGCAGGCCATAAAATTTTTTTTTTTGCTATGCCACGGGTGCTGCATGCCAATTTTGGGTGCAGCCTGGCAGCTTTTCCCCTGCTCTTAATAGAGCCTGTTCCAGCACCTGGTGTTTCAGCCTTCTCTTTAATTTCTATCACCTTCCAGTTATATAAGTCACTTGACGAGAAGGGGATGTGAACAAAGAATGGGTGACCCTGATTGTCTTCTCCCATTGGGGGCGCCTCTCAGAGAGGAAGGACCGCCAGTGGGTGTGGAGCCCCACTGCGGGTGTGCAGTGGGGAGAAGAATTGGTTACTGGTGCTGTCCAGGGGGAGGATGCTGAGGCCCGGATTCGGTAGGCCTTGAGTATGGTGGAGGTAATTCTTGATCTTCTGCCATGGAAGGGAGTAGCTGGCACCGAAGGGGCTTTCTTAGGGCCTGCCAGCCTAACTTGTAACCCAGCATGCTTTATGCAGCGTTTAAGCCAAGAGGGGGGCTGCTGAACTAAGCCTATGTATGGAAACTGGTCAATGTATGGAAACTGATCTGGGTGCCCAGGGGAACCTGTCACCACATTCCATACAGCCTGGGTTACCTTGGGATTATATGTCCCGGTGTCTGGCCACTCCACCCCAAACGATGGCCGCTCCGATTTACACGGGGTGCGGAGTTTTCTCGGGGTTAGTTTTACCCCATATTGGCCTGAAAAATCCAGCTTTGAAATTGGCCGTATGCACTGGAGCGGGGGTGCAGGGCTGGGAACCAGATGATCCCAGCTAGTGTTTTGTTTTGTTTTGTTTTTTTCTTTCTTAACCTACCAGTTGTTACCCAGACCTGTTTGCTTTTATAGTACTTCCAGTTCTGGAAAGCGTTGTACTCATGCCTTGCCCTTTCCAGCACTGGTTTTAAGTATGCCCCTGCAGCAAGGTCTTGTAAGGAGGGGGCAACAAGCTTGATAGGCCTATCGCTGGCATGAGGCAAGGAGACGGGCGGAAGCGGCCAGGGTGCAGGTCTGTGTCACCCGTGTGGGACCACAGTGGTGAATGGTAAGCTTTTAGGAGATAAAAACCGCTTTGGTAGGATCTTCCCTTAGAAAGTGACAAAACTTTCCCTTGGAAAGTGACAAAACAAAACAAATGAAGAGATGGGCCAGCACATTAAGCGGGTGTGAATTTTGAATTTACCATGGCTTATAGAGATTACAAAACCTTTTCCAGTCAGTATTAACTGGAGGGTGGCAGCCAGCCTCCCTACACCAGGGCTGATGCCAAAAGTCGGAGATCAGTGGGGACAGGAGCAGGACCCATAACAAGACCTAACCACTTTCTGACAGAATATACAGTGGTCTCCTTTTTTTTTTTTTTCACTCTAAGCAGACAAACGGTTCTTGCTCGTCTTCCTTAGAATCTGACTTTAAGATTCCAGAAAAAGCTACAACTGAGTTGCCAGGGGCAGAATTGCCTCCTGGACATTTCAAGGAGGAAAGGAGGGGCCTAATGGTGAAGGAGGAAGAGGAAGGAGAATAAAGTTATTTCTAGGGACATAAAGTCAGTGAAAGTCCCCTGCAACCAATGGTCATTTAACCACTTGAGAACATCATCTGGACTTAGTGAGGCAGGCCTAAACCACCGCAGATCAGTTAATAAGCACCTTAGAGAACTAGAGAATCTCCAGTAAAGACAGGACCACGTGAGAGGTAGACAGACACAGGGTGGGTGTCCCCCATGGGAGACTAATCTGATGCCTCCCCGGCCACATCCCTGAAGGGATATTTCAGAGCGTCTTGGCTAAGGTGTACTTATATGAACCCTGGGCCTGGTCACTGCAGAGGTGAATCACCGTTATGCCCTATGACGTCTCCATGGACCCACGGGTGAAGGCCCTCACAGGTCCCGTAGCCCACCGGCCGTGCGACCACACATATATGCACTCACTTTCTTTTTTTTTTTTTTTTTTTGAGACGGAGTTTCACTCTTGTTACCCAGGCTGGAGTGCAATGGCGCCATCTCGGCTCACCGCAACCTCTGCCTCCTGGGTTCAGGCAATTCTCCTGCCTCAGCCTCCTGAGTAGCTGGGATTACAGGCACGCACCACCGTGCCCAGCTGATTTTTTGTATTTTTAGTAGAGACGGGGTTTCACCATGTTGACAAGGATGGTCTCGATCTGTTGACCTCGTGATCCACCCGCCTTGGCCTCCCAAAGTGCTGGGATTACAGGTGTGAGCCACCGCGCCCGGCCCTCACTTTCTCATTCACACCGAGGTTACGGAAGACTACGGAAAACTGAACTACCCGAGCCTCCAGTGACGTCTCACGGTAGGCTTGCCTAGTCAGAGATTAACGACCGCGTCTGGTCTCCTGCCTCAGGCTCCTGACGGACCGGTCCCCCAATTTCCAGACCTGACTTACCTGCAGAGGTTCCCGGGATCCTGAGGAATTTCGGGTGAATGTCGGCCAGGTAGTTGCCCATCCGCCACGGGGCCGGAACTCTGGGGCCCTGGAACGTCTCAGGGGGCGCCTCCCCTAGAGATCCCCGAGGCGGGGGCGGCTGCTTCGGCAAGACTCCAGGGATTTTGTCTGCGTGGCCATGGAAAATTTCTGCTGGGGGCTCCAAACGTAGTACCTGAGCAAGCTCGAAATCACCACCGAGACAAAGACTAGGCCAAATTACAGGGTCTTTATTGCCGGCGGCCATGGAGGACTCTCGTCTCTCTAACCTGTGGCCCCCAAGGAGAGTGTCAAGAACTTTTATGCCTGTAAACCACCTCCTGGGCAGGGGTGAGGGCAAGGAGCTTTGGACATTCCGAGGGCCAGTGGACTTTGGACATTCTGTAAACCACCTCCTGGGCGGGGGTGAGGGTGAGGGGCTTTGGACATTCTGAGGGCCAGGGGACTTTGGACATTCCGATTGTTACTTAAGTGGGTCACAGAAGTCAAAATAAGTGTTAGTTTACACATTGTCTGGGTAGGGTAGAAGTTTCAGACCTTAGTTACTTATTACAAGTCGCAGGGGCCAAGATGGCTTGGGTTTGGACTGCTTGCCTGTCACATTAGGGTTACAGAGAGCAGTTTGGACGGAAAGCCGAGGAGGTATGGTGGAGGTAATGCAGTTTATGGCGCAATTACCATGTCACAGCATGACTCTTTCTAGAGTCCTCTTTATCATCAGCATCACCACAGGAAGGTGGGCTCCATGTGGCCCTGCCTTCCCTTGAGACCAGCGGATCTGATTCCTCATGCTTTGTTTAAATGTCAGATTTTCATGAACCTGGGAGAGATGGAAGCAGAACCATGCCACACTGAAAGGTGCCCGTAGCTGATGCCTGCAAGTGTAGGGTTAGCATGGAAGATTAATTCCAGCAGTTCTTTATTTTGGTGTTAGGGAGCTGGTCTAAACCTTCTCATGGAGGATAACAAAATTAAGTTGTTTTTTAAAGGAGATAGTGGTGGTATTTTTGAGGAGACATAATTTGACCCATTGTATTTTTGTATGTTAGTAATCCCAAGTGATGTTGAGCTATGAATAACTTGATTTTTTAAATGCCCATTACTTTAAAACTGCCACCTATGAGAAAGTTTGGTGTTTCTGGCCAAGTATGCTGGCTCATGCCAGTAATCCCAGCACTTTGAGAGGCCAAGGAGGGTGGATCACTTGAGGCCAGGAATTCAAGATCAGCCTGGCCAACATAGCAAAACCCCATCTCCTCTAAAAATAAAAAAAATTAGCTGGGCGTGGTGGCACACACCTGTAGTCCCAGCTACTCAGGAGGCTGAAGCATGTAAATTGCTTGAACCCAGAAGGCAGAGGTTGCAGTGAGCTGAGATTGTGTCACTGCACTCCAGCCTGGGCAATACCGAGACTATCTCAAATAAAAGAAAAAAGAGACAGAGGAAGAAAAGAAAGTTTGGTATTTCTTAGCTTCAATTACTATGATGTGCCTAAACATTCCATTTTCATCTTAGTCTTCATTTAATTTGACTGAGAGAAGTTGCTCTTCAAGAGGAACTGTTTTTTAACCCGATTTAGGTAAGAAGGTACTCATTGTCTATGCGCACCAGGAACCCCGGTCGTTCAACGGATCCTTGAAGAATGTGACTGTAGATGAACTGAGCAGGCAGGGCTGCACAGTCACGGTATCTGATTTATACGCCATGAATTTTGAGCCGAGGGCCACCAGGAAAGATATCACTGGTGAGTCATGTGATCAATGCTCTATTTGTAAAAACTATCTTTGTGGTTTTTGCTTTAAAAAATATTGACTTCCAGCTGCAAAATGGCATGGTAGAAGCAAGCTAGCTTCACTTCCCTCCGCAGAAAAACCAAAAACAAATACATAGCACTGAGGTTATCTCCAGCAATATCTCGGACGTCAAATATGAGGATGAAATAGTTCCCAAGAGCACACATAAGTGAAAAAACTCCAAGCAGATGGTAAGAGAATTGCGCTTTCATATCCACAACACAACTCCTCACAAACTACCCAGCACCAACTGTGAGGGAAGTTTCCTCCCAAATCAGTTTCTACCTTGGAAAAAGAGATCAAGGTGGACAGTCAGCTTCCCAATTTTCTTGAGTTCACTGGAAGAAGATCTTTTCCTGCCTCAACCCCAGGGAAGCATCAGGAGTGCCTAAAGGGAGAAATATACCTGACGACAGCCAGAGATGATGGAGGGAGATGGGAGTATCATCCCCAGCCCTGAAAACTCTGATCTGTAAATTAGCTAAAGCAGATGCCAAACCAGAGTGGCTGTTCAGCAGCACCACACTGTAGGAGGTACATTCAGCAGGTCCCCTGGGCATGAACTGCCACCCAGCCTTCCCACACTTACCACGCTATTCCCTTTGGAACGTCTCATATTCGGGACTGGCAGCACTCTTATCAGTTACTACAGCTGAGGTAAACCTAGGCATAAGCCACCATTCTAGTGCTGAAAAGGAGGCAGTGACTTAGTAGAGGGGGGAAAAAAAGAAATTTAAAAGGAAAATTGCAAAGACTTTCTAAGCAAATATATGTAATAAAAATGAAAACAAGTCAGACATGAAAGACTGAAATAAATAGATGTCATCCACAAGAAACAACAGTAAATGGGGAACAGTGACCTCCCAGACAGACAGAGCAAGGATTCAGTGACTGAACCTAGCAAGACAGCTCTGTTGGGGCTCTCTGACCAAGAATTTAAAATAGCGCTTTTAAGGAAATTCACTAATCTTCAAGATGACACAGAAAAGCAATTCAGAAATGTATCAGATAAATTTAACAAAGATTAGTGAGTTTCCCTAAAAATGCTATTTTAAACATTTATATCTTCAAATTTTTGCACATTAGTGTTTTTCTTCTGTATTGAAGAATTCCCTTTAGCATTTCTTATAATGTGGGTCTGGTGGTGGTACTACTGGTAAAAGTAAGTACACAGAACACGCTAATACTGTAATTGTGTGCAATCCACTCATGCTAGTATGAAGTCTAACTATGGTGACCTGCTAAGAGCTAGCGATAAGCAATATAAAATATGTAAATTGAGACACAAATACTCAAAAATGTAGGGGTGGGCATGACATCAAAATGTAGAGTTTATTTTTTTTAGACCTGTGTGGTGTTGAGCAAGACATCCACCCCCTCTTAGGTCTCAGTTTGCTCTCTGGTAAATTGCGAAATACACCAGTCCCACCAGTTGTTATGAAGAAAGTTGATATCTATGGAGCACAGCACCTGCAAGGTAGGAAGTGCTCGATCATTAGCCCTCCTGGACTCTTTTTCTTTCCCTAGCCTGGACCCAGGGTCCAGCTTCTGGTCAGGTTGCAGCAAATGTCTTTGACTTTCTCTGAGGAGTCCGGTATACACAGGGCTCCTGGGATGGTGGGGATGGGCTGTACATGCCCACCTAAGAGTGAGAATGTTTGGCCTCTTCCTTCCGCAGGTGCGCTTTCTAATCCTGAGGTTTTCAGTTATGGAGTGGAAATGTACGAAGCCTACAAGAAAAGGTCTCTGCCTGGTGACATCACTGATGAGCAGAAAAAGGTTCAGGAGGCTGATCTAGTGATATTTCAGGTTTGTTTTTCTCTAATTAATATATTGAATCAGATTCATCATACGTACAAACTCTTTCTGAATATTGAGTTTTGTGCTGCTTCTAGAAGTGGAATCAATGTTTTTTAGCACAATTGCACACTTACTGTGTAGCAGGAAAGGCCGTGGGAAACAGATCTCCTGAACACTGAATACAGGAGGAAAGAGTTCATCATTACAGCCGGGAGCTGAGGAAATTACCTGTCCAAATTCAGCTCATCTAACAAAGGAAGGTTTTGCCTTTATATAGGCTTATACTTTAGATATTACACGTGGAAGAATCTTAGGTTTATATCTTTAGAAATCACATATGAAAAGGGTCTCGGTTTACAGCTTCAGGAATCACATAGGAAAGGGTTCCAGTTTAGAGTTTTAGGACCCACACGTGAAAAGGTTTCTGTTTACAGTTTCAGGAATCACATATGAAAGGGTTCCGGTTTACAGTTCTAGGACTCACATGTGAAAAGGTTACAGTTTCAGGAATCACATATGAAAGGGTTCCAGCTTATAGTTTTAGGACTCACACATGAAAAGGTTTCTGGTTTGGTCTTGTTTTAAGTAAAAATAGTGCCTTCCGGAGAGTTTCCCCTAGACCAAGCCTGCTACCTGTAGGAAGGTGAAATAGGAGGCACCCGTTGGTCAGCCTTTTCTTCTGTTGAAATGCAGTGTGATAGTCAAAGGGGAAGCTGATCTGAGATGCCTGGGTCTCCTTCTTCAACTGGGCAAATGTTGTAACCTAGTTACAACACTTCACCTAGTTACACTACTTTAAACACTTTACCTAATTAGGTAAAGACATCCATGTAGCCAATATCATTCACTCAAAATCCTGACTGCCATGCAAATAGGAATGAAGAATTTTTCTATTAGCCCAGTGGTCCAAGAACCGTCTGAATCCTGCCAGGCTTGTTGCATTCCTTCTCTTCCAGTTCCCACCCTGAGACATTTTGGGGCTGCTTGAGAAGCACATTTCTCTGCACAAATGTTTATCAGGGTCAATCAGGCCAAATGCAACTCCTTAAATATCCTGCCTTAAATATCCTGATCATCAATAGGAAAATCTCTGGGTTCCATCCTCTCAGGGGTTGCTTCACCCTCTGCCTAGTCACCTTCCTGTATTTGTTCACAAGGAGATGAGGTCACTGCAGAGAGAACTGGCCTCCAGGAGTGCTAACTCAGCAGGCCACTTCCCACCACTGCAAGGAGGATGTGTCCACATGGCTGTGACTGTGTAAGCCTGGCAGCAGAGTACACACATGAGCTTTGAGGGAATTGTTGGGTGGACAGAAATTCCCGTCCAACTCGAAAGCAAGGGGAATCTATTCTAAGGGCTCTGGTCACTTGGGCCTCCTGGATCCCAAGGACAGAGCTGGAGCTGCTCTTATCCTTGGATTCCCATCTACTCCTTTCTGCCTCTTGCTTCTGTTCTTTCTAGCTGAGTGTCAGGGACTGAATCCCCTGGATCCAGAATTTCCAAGCAGGGGATCTGATTAGTCCAGATTGTTTCTATTTTTCTTTTCTTTTCCTTTTTTTTTTTTTAAAGATGGGGTTTCGCCATGATGGCCAAGCTGGTCTTGAACTCCTGACCTCAGGTGATCCACCCACCTTGGCAGCCCAATGTGCTAGGATTATAGGCGTGAGCCACAGCGCCTGGCCGATTGTTTCTATTTTTCAACCCTGCTTGAGGACAGGGAGTGGGTGGGAGAACGAGAGCATTGCTCTCATGAACCCACCATGTGAGTGCAAGGCCAGGGGTGAAGGGCATGTGACCACTTTCTGGACAAAACCACATGTCCAGAATGGTGAAGTCCCCAACTCTTCATAAAAGCAAACTGCATGTGTCAGAATAGAGCCGCCTCATCCCTGCCCAGGCTTGCCTCTGCGCACCTCTTCCTGACACCAGCCCTTTCTCTTTTTTTGAAATAGAGTTTCACTCGTTACCCAGGCTGGAGCACAGTGGCACGATCTCGGCTCACCACAACCTCCACCTTCTGGGTTCAAGCGATTCTCCTACCTCAGCCTTCTGAGTAGCTGGAATTACAGGCATGTGCTACCATGCCTGGCTAATTTGTGTGTGTGTGTATGTATGTGTGTATATGTGTGTGTGTTTTTAGTAGAGACAGGGTTTCTCCCTGTTGGTCAGGCTGATCTCGAACTCCTGACCTCAGGTGATCTGCCTGCCTCAGCCTCCCGAAGTGCTAGGATTATAGGCCTGAGCCACTGCACCCAGCCCACCAGCCCTTTCTTTACTCAGTCACCTTGCACTGCTAATGTGGCTGATGTGCAGGATGTTCTTTGTCCTAATTACAGGTGGGTGGATTCATAGTCTTCAGACCTAGGTGACCATGTGGTTTATCATCCATGCCTTAATACCATGACGGTACAATGGGCCTGTATCCTGGGGCGCATGGTCCCAGCAGAATCATGCTCAGCTCTCTGCTCTGCATCTCCTGTCTTCCTCGGCTAAGCTGGCCACATGGAGCCCGCTTCTCCTCCCCACACCCACTCTACTCCCATAACCAGGTGGTTGGGTAGGCTGAGATCTGGCCTTTCTATAATGGCCTTTCTTTTGTTTCACTTCATTTCACTCCATTTCCCTGCCTTCCCCTTTTTTTCTGATACTTTGTCCAGAGGGTCTGCATTATAAGGTTTTTTTTTAATTTAACATTAATAAAAATTGTATTCACCACTACTATACTACTAATATCAGAGCCCACCACTCACCGAGCATGGATTTTGGGCACTGTGGCGTGTCCTCGAATCCTCACCAGGATGCTGTGAGCTGCGAGCTATTAGCAGCCCTATTTGATGAATCAGGAAAAGGAGGCACAAGGAGACCAAGTAACTTGCCAGTGTCACACAGAGGCAGGTTGTGGAGCTTGGGTTTCAATGCCAAGTCCTGAGTTTGTTTTATATTGAAAGCACCCGAGACATTGGCTTCCTCCTTTGCTAACAGATGATTGCCTATGTTTATTTCCCGTCCCAGGTAGTAACACTGGATGTAATGTTAGGGCATTTATGGGATAGGGAGGTCTTACTGCTGGTCTACGGAATCCACACATATGACCTTAGTTGGTGCCAGAATCCATAGCTGCTCAGCACCTGGTTCAGTCTGAATCCTAGATGCTAAAAACACACTCCAAGCAGGGAAAGGGCACGCTTTTCCACACCCTTCCTTTTGATTGGTGTGGTCACAGATTGCTGCTCCCTAGCCAGTGTCACACAGAGCTCCTTTTCCCCCCCATGCCTGTCCAGGGTCAGCATCAGGGACTGTCACTGGGGGAGGCAGAGCTACCTGTAACAGCAACAAGGACCACTGTCAACTCCGTTCCCGTCTCATGTCCGCACTGCATCCTTCAAAGCTGACCACACGGGTTACCCTCACCTGCCCAGCTGTCAGGGAAGAGGAGGGCTGTGGGCTTCCTTTTGAATCACCAGATAGACTGAACTAGGAAACCTCAGTGTCTCTTTGCTGTTGCCGCCCACAGTTCCCGCTGTACTGGTTCAGCGTGCCGGCCATCCTAAAGGGCTGGATGGATCGGGTGCTGTGCCAGGGCTTTGCCTTTGACATCCCAGGATTCTACGATTCCGGTTTGCTCCAGGTATGTGCTCTTCGATAAGGATCACCGTGGATAGTTGTGGTGAGGGGACGGAGGCATGCGTCTTCTATTGAGCTACACTTCTAGTTTCCTTTTTCTTCCTTGGCAAATATTGATTTAGCACCCACTATATACAGAGCACCATGTGCTGCACATGGGTGAGCACAGCATCGTTTTTGGTCACAGAACTTTTTGTCTAGTGGGGCTGCAGACCTATCCACAGCATACTACATGTATGGCAAACAAGGGAGTGGCCCAGGTGTCAGATGATGGGTGACCTGGGCAACTTTACATGGGCAGCCCGCTGGCCAGCCCTGGACCCAGAGAGGGCACCTCCTCCGTGGTGCAGAGTCCAGCCCTGGCCTGGCACAAGTTCACCCCCCTGAGGATCATGTTCCTGCTGTGAGACAAGATCATGCGACATCCACATGGCAAGGTGAGGAGGGCTTGGCACCTGGTAGGTGTGCAACACGCGGTAGCTATGAACTTCTTACTAAAAGAATGATTTTTAAGGCCGGGCACAGTGGCTCATGCCTGTAATCCCAGCACTTTGGGAGGCCGAGGCAGGTGGATCACTTGAGGTCAGGAGTTCAAGACCAGCTTGGCCAACATGGTGAAACCCCATCTTGACTGAAAATACAAAAATTAGCTAGGCGTGGTGACAGTCGCCTGTAGTCTCAACTACTTGGGAGGCTAAGGCAGGAGACTCACCCGGGAGGTGGAGTTTGCAGTGAACCAAGATCGCTTCATTGCACTCCAGCCTGGGAAACAGAGCGAGACTCCATTTCACAAAAAAAAGGAATGATTTTTAAATTCTAAAAGCCTCAGAAAATAAATGCAGGTAAGGGAAACATACTGAGTAACCAAGATCTGTCTGGACCATGAATGGTGCTACCACTTACTGAGCAGCCCTGTGTGCTGGGAACCTTGTCCTACGGTCAGTGCCTCGGCCATATTGTCACACATGGTGTCATGGACACCTGGTTTCCACCAGCAACCTGGGCATGTTAGAGCTTATGTGCTCTATTCACTTGGATTGTCTCCTCCTCCTGTTGGAATGTCATTGTCACGTCTCCTCCTTCTGTTGGGATGTCATTGTCACTTGTGGGTTGGACATTCACTTGGATTGTCTCCTCCTGTTGGGATGTCATCGTCACCTGTGGATGGGATATTCACTTGGATTGTCTCCTCCTCCTGTTGGAATGTCATTGTCACATGTCTCCTCCTCCTGTTGGGATGTCGTCGTCACCTGTGGATGGGAGTGTTGCATTTGTCCATCCCTGGAGGATGCCCACACACATGTTCCCTGCTAGGTGTGCTGAGCCCGTGCGCTGGAGGCACGCCAGCATTCCATCCTCTTCTGGAGTCCACACAAATGCATCTGCTTTCTCCCCTGCAGGGTAAACTAGCGCTCCTTTCTGTAACCACGGGAGGCACAGCCGAGATGTACACGAAGACAGGAATCAGTGGAGATTTTCGATACTTCCTGTGGCCACTCCAGGTAGACCAGCTGCAAGTGGCTCCCTTGCTTGTTGGCACACGCACACATGCACACACACACACACACACACACATACACACTCTCAGCTCCCCGAGTGGTGAGATGAGATGGGATGTAAGCGTGATGCCCCATGCCATTTTGACTTCCCATGGATACAGAAAATAATAACATTTTGCCTCTTTTCAACTTTTTACTTGACAGATTTGAAAAGCTTGACCAATAGGGGAAACCTGCCCTAATTACAGCTTTTGATATAGTTTGGGTGGAAGCTAAGCCAAACCTGCTTATCCTGATTTCCGCTCTTGGTCAGCAGAGTGGCCCCGAGATAGCCCTGCATATGTTGTGATTGGTGCAGGTGGAGGCTGCCCACATGGCTCTGGCAGTGCTTGGTGAGGGCAGCGCTGCCCTCGGATGCTGGCAAGTCAGACCCTGCATTCTGATGGCCCCATGCTGGCCTCTGCTGGCCATGCCAACCCTCGACCCTCGCACAGACAAGGGGCCTTATGGAGCCAGTCCACACCCCCCTCCCATTACCCAGGCCCTGCCCAGGCCTGCTTCCCCAGGGGACCCCTTGCTGCCTGCGTGAGTGCCCCTAGGCCTGAGAGATGGCTAAGTAGTGGCCACCTGCCAAAGGGAAGGTAGTGGGCAGAGCAGTTCCAATATGCTGGGGTGTCTGACAAAGGAACCCCTGGTGAGGGGTGGCAGAGGGAGGGAGTGGGGAGCAGACTCCAGGTCAGGGACTCCAGGGAACCCAGAAACCTAAGGGGCAACTGTCCTTCCAGTTTGTTTCAGGGGGATTTGTTGAGGCAGGAGGAGAGCTCGTTCTTGAGGGGTAGAGAGCTTGCTGGGAAAATCCAAGCATCGCCCCTTTCCTGTGAGCTCTCTTTAGGTGTGCATGCCTTGCCGATGTCCTATTAGGTTGCTGGTATTTTTAATTTTCTATTTGTCAGCACTCTTCATATATTAGAGAAATTTATCCTATTATGTCCTTTCAAAACACAAAGATTTTTTCTGTCTATAGGCGGTGCACATTGGCTAAGTCCATTCCTTGCTTTGTTGTTGTTATTATAAATAGGATTTTGTCTTCAGTTACATCTTCTAAAAGTTCTTTGGATTGGTGAAAGCTATTGATTGCTGAATATTGGTTTCTTACCCAGGCCATTTGCTGTTTTCTCCTCCTAATCATAATTTTTTCTTAGTTAGTTTCCAGTAATAAAGTAATGTTGTCTGAGGCCAGGTGCAGTGGCTCACACCTGTAATCCCAGCACTTTGGGAGGCCAAGGTGGGCAGATCACCTGAGGTCAGGAGTTCAAGACCAGCCTGGCCAACATGGTGAAACCCTATCTCTCCTAAAAATACTAAAATCAGCTGGGCGTGGTGGTGCACGCCTGTAGTCCCAGCTACGGGGGAGGCTGAGGCAGGAGAAATCACTTGAACCGGGGAGACAGAGGTTGCAGTGAGCCGAGATTGTGCCACTGCACTCCAGCCTGGTCAACAGAGTGAGAATTCACCTCAAAAATAAATAAATAAGTAAATTTAAAAATAAATAAATAAAGCCATGTTGTCTGAGAAAAAAAAATGTAGGAAGTGGTGTGTGGGCCTCTCACTCCCCACCTGACAGAACAGGCCCGGGTGTGGGTGTGGGTGTGGGTTTTAAAGGAAGTAACTCAGAGGGTTGAGTGTGATATTTCTAGGAAAAGAAAGTAGTCCTCTTTGAAAGGAGAAAGTATATGATTCTAATCAATTACTGATAGTCTACTGAAGGAAATGGTAATTTACAAGCCTGACCTTGCTTCTTCACAGACCAACTGGTCTCTTACGTGTCATTAGCCAAGTGCAAATTCTCCTTGCTTTTGAAAAAAAATTTATATTTTTTTCAGTTTGCAGAAGTATGTTTTGTAGCAAAAAAAATGAGACATATAAAATATAAAAAAGAAAGTCCCTTTAATTCCCCCCCACACACACACACACATACCTCAGAAAGAATCACTTTAAATAATTTGATTTGTTTTCTTAGGGCCCATATATTTTCTCACGTACATAATTTTTATCATTAGGCTTATTATGTTTACCACTCTTTTACATAAATGGTATAACATAAATACTGCTTAAAATTTGTTGCTGTTTTCATTTAATAGGTATTTTGGACAAACTTCCATGGTACACATTATAGCTGGAATAACCTCATTCTGGAATAAGTTATAGTGTGAAGGTACCATAATTTGCCCAGTCAAGCAGAACTATAATGTTTGGTGTCTGAATCAGTTGCAAAGATTGTAGGTTAATTGCAATTATAAAAATAGAGCTTGGAAATTCCAGGAGCCCCAGGTTCTTCACCACGCTTATGCAAGGCTTGTATCCTAAAGCTACAGGGAGGTTTAGTTTTCAATTGCCTCATAACATTAAGATTGTTTCATGATTTTTTGAAGGTTTGTTTCACACCATTTCTCCCCTTAAATCGTTTAACTGAATGGTATGTAACAGGTGAAGTTTCTCATGAGTTCTTTCCTTCCCTTGTGGCTTTAGCATGGCACATTACACTTCTGTGGATTTAAAGTCCTTGCCCCTCAGATCAATTTTGCTCCTGAAATTGCATCCGAAGAAGAAAGAAAGGGGATGGTGGCTGCGTGGGCCCAGAGGCTGCAGACCATCTGGAAGGAGGAGCCCATCCCCTGCAGAGTCCCCTGGTACTTCGGGCAATAACTGTGGCACGTGGACATCATGTAAGCAGCACACCAGGAGACCCAGGTGCAGGCAGAGAGAAGATGGTGCGATCATGAAATAAAATTACAACATAACTACCTGGAGATACTTGTTTCTTTCTTTTTTCTTGTTGTTGTTGTTAATTTTAGCTGTAAGGAGTAAATGGCCAGTATTGTTTCAGGGGTATATTGCGTGGTGCTGGGGGTTGGGCTTCCATTTACCTCATCATCTAAATAGTGAGCATAGTTCTCAATAGATAGTTTTTCAACACTTCCTTTCCTTTCTTCATTCCCACTTTGGGATTTCCAGTGTCTATCGATCCCATCTTTATGCCCCTGTTGGAAACAGATGCTGGGTGCTGCAAAGAAAAATTAGCACTGAGACAACGGATCTCTCAGCAAAGCAATTTTTACTTCCTGCACCTAGGAAGGGTACCCTTGCTAGCCATCTTGCCATGAGAGTACAATGAACAAAGGAAAAGCAGACATACTCATCCCTTATGCATTCGGGGTTGTCCTTACTGCTGTGTCTGATCTCTGTTGGTTGGAGCCAGACCTCACAATTTAAACTAAAACCCAATTGGCTAATAGCTTAAAACTTTTTTAAACAGGTAAGGGGCATAGGCTGCGAGCTGGGACATGCCTGTGAGCATGTCTAGCACAGATATTTTGGTTAAAGAACAAGCACATAGAATAAACTACATGCCTGTAAGCATGGCATATCTAACAGCTATATAAGATAGGGCTTAACAAAGAGTTATTTGCAAATTTATTCCTTAACAAGAAAGGAAACTTTGAAGAGGAACTTTTCTACTTCCCACACTCCTGTGTGCCCAGTGTTTAGTTCCCACTTATATGTCAGAACATGGGGAATTTGGGTTTGTTTCTGTGTTAATTCATTTAGAATAATGGCCTCCAGCTGCACACATTGCTGCAAAGGACAGGATTTCATGAGTTTTTCTTATGGCTGCATAGTATTCCATGGTGTCTATGTACCCTTTCTTTATCCAGTCCACTGTTGATGAGCACCTGGGTTGCTTCCATGTCATTGCTACTGTAAATAATGCTGTGACAAACATACAAGTGCAGGCATCTTTTGGCAGAATGATTTTTTCCTCCTTTGGTTACATACTCAGTAATGGGATTGCTGGGTCGAAGGATAATTCTATTTTTAGCAAATCAGAAATATTTAATGAAGTACATGAATGAGTGTCTTCATAATTGTATAGAGTCAGATCAAATATTTCAATAATAAGCTTGTTATGTTGATTTCTATTCTGACCACCATACACTGAGATTTTCTTTTCTTTTCTTCTTTTTGTTTTTCTTTAAAGAGACAGCGTCTCACCATGTTGCCCAGGCTGGTCTCAAACCCCTTGTCTCAAGTAATCCTCCCATCTCAGCCTCCCAAAGTGCTGGGATTACAGGCACGAGCTACCACTCCTGGCCCAGATTTTCTTTCGTATTTGTCTAATATTGTTCCATCTCCCTATATTCAAGCATGTAATTTTATTTTCCGATAATTCTCTGAGCATGGAGCTGGATTTGCTAGGTTTTATAACTCAGCATGAGAGTTTCTATTTTTTCTTTTTTTGTTTTCCTATTGAGATGGAGTCTTGCTCTTGTCGCTCAGACTGGAGTGCAATGGCATGATCTCGGTTCACTGCAACCTCTGCCTCCCAGGTTCAAGTGATTCTCTTGCCTCAGCCTCCCAAGTAGCTGGAATTGCAGGTACCTGCCACCATGACTGGCTAATTTTTGTATTTTCAGTAGAGACAGGGTTTTGCCATGATGACCAGGCTGGTCTTGAACTCCTGAACTCAGGATCCACCCACCTCAGCCTCCCAAAGTACTGGGATTACAGGCATTAGCCACCATACCCGGCCAAGAGTTTCTATTTTTTCAAAGGAAAATGTAATCTATTCATAGCTATTGTTTTATTGCTATGTTTGGACCTGTTTCTTAATTTTCTACTTTGTCTTCTGTTTTTTTAAATTTACATTAGGACTATGAAGTTTTAGTTGGACAGCCAATGAACATATATAGTTATGTGTTGCATGATGATGTTTCAGTCAGTAATGGACTATATGGATGACACTTGTCCCTAAGATTATAATACCATATTTTATTTTATTTAGTAAAAATTATTTTAAGATTTATTTATTATTTTTATAGATGAGGTCTCACTTTGTTGCCCCAGCTGGATGCAATGGCATGATCATAGCTCACTGGGCTCAAGTGATCCTCCTGCCTCAGCCTCCCTAGTAGCTAGGACTACAGGCACATATCACCACACCTGGCTAATTATTTTAACTGTTTTAGAGACAGGATCTCATTACGTTGCCCAGGCTGGTCTTGAACTCCTGGTCTCAAGCAGTCCACCCACCTCAGCTTCCCCAAGTGCTAAGATTACAGGCATGAGCCCCCTGCACCTGGACTGATACTGTGTTTTTACTGTACCTTTTCTGTGTTTAGATACAAAAATACCTACAATCGTGTTACAGTTGCCTACAGTATTCAGTACAACAATCTCTCTACAGGTGATAGCCAAGAGCAATAGGCTGTACCATCTGATTTGTGTAAGTGTGAAATCACATAATTATAAATTTCTCAGAATGTCTCTTTTGTTAAGTGACACATTAAAAATTTTATTTATTTAAAATGTTTAAAAATCATTGGCTGGGCACCATGGATCATGCTTGTAATCCCAGCACTTTGGGAGGCTGAGATAGGACAACTGCTTGAGTCCAGGAGTTCAAGACCAGCCTGGGCAATATAACGAGACCCCATTACTACAAAAAATAAAAAAAATACATTAGCTAGGCATGGTGGCACACACCTGTAATTCCAGCTACTCAGGAGGCTGAAGCAGGCTGAACTACTAAGGAGGCTGAAGTTCAAGAGGATCCATCACTTGAGCCCAGAAGTTCAAGGCTGCAATAAGCCATGACTATGTCACTTCACTCCAGCCTGGATGACAGAGCAAGACTCTTTAAAATAGCCAGGTGTGATGGCTCTTACCTGTAATCGCAGTATTTTGGGAGGCCAAGGCGGTCAGATTGCTTGACTTCAGGAGTTTGAGACCAGCCTGGGCAACATGATGAAACCCCATCTCTACAAAAAATACACACACACAAAATGAGCCAGGTGCATGCCTGCATTCCCAGGTACTCGGGAGGCTGAGGTGAAGGAACACCTTGAGACAGGGGGGTGAAGGTTGCCGGGAGCTGAAATCACACCACTGGACTCCAGCCTTGCATGACTGAATAAAACCTTCTCAAATAAATAAATAAAAACAAAAAATCATTAATTGCCAGTTACAATGAAAATGTAAAACTTTTTAAATTTTTGGTCTGATGGCATTGTAGCACTCTGCATGTGTTCGTATAACACTACTGGCAATTACCCTGACACATGGTCACATGCAGATGAAGGAACTTCCCTAAAACCAAGTTGAAGGGATTAAATATCTTCATCATCACATCCTCCTCTTTTCCTCTGGTATTCATCAAAGTAACCACTGCGTGGGGTGTTTTGCTATTTAAGTTTTGTCCCAGAGTTAGCTTATCAGCCTCTTGTGCTAGCAGAGCAGTTGTTGCCAGGGCCCTTAAATATGGGGACCATTCCTTGGAAACTCCATCCAGCTGCTACAGGCCTGGGCCAAGGTCCCACTCTTGTGTTAGAACTCCAGCTGCCATTTTTTTCTCTTTTTGACAGATACAACGTGAAGGGCTTTGTTAAATCAGGTAACCCCAAAGCCGGGGCTGACAAAAGTTTTGCTTTCAGTTCCTGATAGGCCTGCCACTGCTGGGATCCCCATTCAAAGAGTTCCTTGTCTCCCCACTTTGTAACTTCATATAGGAGTTTAGCCAGTACTGTGAAGTTTGGAATCCACAACCCACAGAAACTCACGGCTCCCAGGAACTCCCTCGCCTGCCTTCTAGTCTCAGGTTCTGGCAGGTTGCAAATGACTTGTTAACTCTCTGCTCCTAGTCTGCACTCTCGCTGCTGGATGGTGAACCCCAGATATTGCACTTGCTGTTGGAAAATCTGATCTTTTCTTTTAGACACTTTATACCCACAGTCCTCCAAGTGCCGAAGTAAGGCATCTGTTCCTTTAGCGCATCTGACTGCCGTGAGGTGTTCCAATAAAAGGTCACCAGCATATTGGAGCAGCATGTAGCCTAAGTCCTTAGCAGGAAACTTCTGGAAGTCACGGGCTAGTGCCTCCACAAAGATGGTGGGAGAGTTCTTGAACCCCTGGGGAAGCCAGGTCCAGGTGTACTGGGTGGTCACACCTGTTTCTGGATTCTCCCATTGGAACACAAATAGTTTCTGACCCTCCGAGGCCAGTCCAATGCTAAAGAAAGCATTCTTTAAGTCCAAGCAGGTAAACCAACTATCCTCTGCTGGCAATAATCCCAACAGCGTGTACAGGTTGGGTGCGAGTGGGTGCAAAGTCACTGTAGTCTGATTAACCAAACACAGTCCTGCACTGGCCTGTAGTCTTCGGTTCCTGGTTTAGAAACAGGCAAGGCGGGGGTGTTCCATGGAGACTGGCAAGGAACTATAATTCCATAGTCCTCTAAGCATCTTAGGTGGACCTGAACGCCTTTTAGGGTCTCTTGGGAAACTGGATATTGCTTTTGCCTAACCGGCTGAATCCCAGGCTTGACTTCAATGAGCACAGGGGCCTGGTTGATTGCCAGTCCTGGTGGATCATCCTTTGCCCAGACCTGTGGCCATTGCCATCATTGGCCTGATATGTAGCGGTAAAATCTTCCCTGGTTTTTCTTCTGCTCCTGTGCTTCTCTTCTGAGGCTGAACAAGAGCAGAACAGAAACCAGCCTGGCACTTGACTGGGACTGTAGGTTCCAGAGACTGGGGAAGAACAGCCAGCCCCAGGAGATATGTCCGGAAAGGGCGGGTCCCTCATGTTCCTCAAAGACTCAGTGCTTTGGTCACAGAGCTCCCCTCCTCCACCCTCGCTCAGCAGGCTGCGTCAGCGCAGGGCTTTGGGGTCCCTGCCGATCCTAGGGACTCCAAAACATTTAATTTGCAAAGTGGTGTTTCTTTCTCCGTATTTCTCAAGTATTCCTTTCTGT